GATACAGCACTGTTCCATATGGTTCAATACGGGTACATGCATTGTTGCACCCCTAGTAAATAGGTGTATTCTGTGTACGCGACCTTATTAAAAGTTACAGTTCAGTGTTCTTAGGACTGAAGTCTTTCTGAGGAAAGAGGTTTTTTTTTACATATTTTCTATCATTTTAGTGTTTTCAGCTGAGGAGCTTTGATATATTTATTTGAAAAAAAATAGCAGAGGAAGTTCTCTGCACAGAAAAAAAATAATTTATTTTTACTGGTTTTTTAACCAAACTGACAGTTTCTCCAGTAAAACTGTGTAATTTAAAGGCATTGAAACACCTGGTAAAATTKAGAACACCTGAACTTGTCTACAAATCAGAGAACTGAGATCCAATCATGTGAAGTTTTGTAATACCTGGTGTGAACTGATGCTATTAGAGCAGTTCACCTCTGAAAATATCAGGAAGTGCGTCTTCATTAMGGCAAGAACGAGGCTTGAGTAGTAGTAAAAAAAACTAATCCTAGCAACTTGTGATTTCAGTGTTTGTGTTTGATCTTAGAGTAAAGATGGGAAGACACCACTTCATATGACAGCGATCCATGGGAGGTTTTCTAGATCTCAAGCAATCATTGAGAATGGTGAGCTTTTCTTAAGAAAATTGTCAACCAATAATTTTATTTGTGTTATTAGAAATGTAAAACGTTAAACTAAGTGCTTGATTTTTTTTGTTTTGTTTTGTTTTCTCGTTCTCTTGAAGGTGCCGAGATTGACTGTGAAGATAAAAACGGGAACACACCACTACACATTGCAGCTCGATACGGACACGAGCTCCTCATTAACACTCTCATCAGCAACAAAGCTGACACCGCAAAGTAAAGAAGCCTTTCTGCTGTTTTTTTTTTTCTGCAGATGTTCTTACATAAACATTGTGGATGAGATACACAGTTAAATAAATTTAAAATKGATATTTAGAGATAAAAACAAAGAAATTAGAGAAATTCTGCTCTTTAATGTRTGAGTTGAGTCAGTCCTGGATGAAAACAGCTGATGTTGAAGTTAATATGAGTGTCTTGTTGTCAGACGAGGGATTCACGGCATGTTCCCGCTGCATTTGGCTGCGCTCAGCGGCTTCTCAGACTGCTGTCGCAAGCTTCTGTCTTCAGGTGAGCCTGAATAAGAATTTTATAAATTTAAAGTTTTTGGCATTCAAGTGTACAGTATCAGCTGGTGATATCGTTGGTAATTTACCACTCCGTTCAGGCTTTGATATTGATACTCCTGATGATTTTGGAAGGACCTGTTTACATGCTGCAGCAGCTGGGGGGTGAGTACAGTCCAGCTAAATATTATATTTGAAATTAATTGTAAAGATGTGCCTGAAGAAATGCTACAAAAAGAATCACACTGTGGTTGATTTTCTGTATCTTCTTAGAAACCTGGAATGTTTGAATCTTCTTCTCAACACYGGAGCAGACTTTAACAGGAAGGACAGCTTTGGCAGGTTTGTTGTGTTTACAGATGGATATAGATTAAGAAGCTCGTTTAAACTGGGAACTAAAGCCTCGTTTGTTTGTCCAGGACTCSGTTGCACTACGCTGCTGCCAACTGTAACTACCAGTGCCTGTTTGCTTTGGTGGGCTCGGGGGCTGGCGTCAATGACCTAGACGAGCGGGGCTGCACTCCTCTCCACTATGCCGCTGCCTCTGACACAGATGGAAAGTCAGTAATGCTCCAACATAACGGAGCAGTTTTTTTAGTGGGTAGTTGGTGCGCAGGAGGCAGATTGTTTCTGGGTTTTTAATGTAACTGAAATCATTTATATTATCAGTAATTCCTAATAACTTTTCAGGGCTCAGAACCACCAGTGGTGGGCAGCACTAATCTAAATATTAGTTGCACTAATTCTAAAGCACTAACTCAAATATTTAGGTCCGCTAATTCTAAAACACTAACTCAAATATTTAGGTCCCCTAATTCTAAAACACTAACTCAAATATTTAGGTCCCCTAATTCTAAAACACTAACTCAAATATTTAGGTCCTCTAATTCTAAAACACTAACTCAAATATTTATGTCCTCTAATTTTAAAGCACTAACGCACTGAAATTTTTAGCAAAAGCCAATTCTAAAGCACTAATATAACCCAGTTGACACTTGAAACATTCTTCAGAGTCAACATGAGACAATATTTACTGTGTGCAGAATGTTGTCACTTAGTGTCCTTGGTGGGCCAAATGGGAGTCACCCGCAGGCCACATTTGGCCCACTGGCCTTAAGTTTGACATGTGACCTTGTAGATAAGTGACACACATATGAACAAAGTGTGTGACAGCTTTCACCCTCAACTATGAACAATAATGTTGATCAATATCATTTATAGACCTCGGTTAGTGCTTCTAAATTTAGCACATAAATTTAGCAAGTGCTAATCCACTAATGAATTAAAAAAATAGCAAAAGCACTAATCAAGAAATTAGTTCCCCTATTAGTGCTTTAGGGGAACTGTGCCCACTATTGGGAACCACAATGTAGTTCACTTAACTAACTAACCAAGCTTTTTTGTTGTGTTGTCAGGTGCCTGGAATATTTACTGAGAAATGATGCGAATCCAGGGATTCGGGACAATCAGGGCTACAATGCTGTGCACTACGCCTCAGCGTACGGACATCGTCTTTGTCTAGAGCTGGTGAGCAATATACTCCTGTAAAAATACAAAACAGACATGCTTTTATATAATTTATAAAAAAAATGTTATGCATGTTTTGACAGATTGCAAGTGAAACGCCCTTAGATGTGGTAAGTCTTTTTTTTAATGCTGTTTGAAACTTTTATGAGATTAGAACTTTATCACAATGTTGTGCATGTGTATAGCGCTGGCCTTCAGGAATGAGAGAAATAATTTCTGATGTTGCTTCTAACCTGTGTATCTACTGTGTTCAGCTAATGGAAACCTCAGGGACAGACATCCTGAATGACTCCGATGTCCGAGCTCCTGTCAGCCCCCTGCACCTTGCTGTGAGTAAAGTGTAATACTTGTTTTTAGACTCTGTTGCTGCATTTTTACCAATAGGAAAATTGTTTTATTAAATCACTTTTGTGATTTAATAAATTAGGGCTGTTTTGACCAAGTCAAATTGTTACATGTCCCTCCACATGTACGGCATTCAAATTTAGTTTGGCTAACACCTTCTTGACTTAGTGTCTGCAGAGACATCCTTCTCCATCCATACATGCCACAAGTTCAGCCGGCTTTTGTCCTGAACCTATAACTCATTTGGAACAGTCCTTTAAAGTGCCTGTGACGTCAAATTTTTTGTAATACATATGAATTCATTTTTAGAAAGAGGACATTGATAAAATATTGCAAAATAAATTTTATGTYGCTGAGATGAACAGTTGTTGAGATATTTGCCTGTGAAGTAACAGGAAGTGATGTCAAAGGGGAATGTCTGAATGTGAACAGAGCATTGCTACAACAGCCAACAACACAGACTGTAGAGAAGAATCTGATGTTTCTTAAGATTATTTTGAGTCACTATCAGAGATGAAGAGTCAGAGTTCAAATAATATTGTTTCAATAAACAAAGACCAGAGAGTTTTCTTTGTTAAAGAGTTCCCCTTTGATGTCACTTCCTGTTTCACTTTAGCTGAGCCAAGTTCAAAAGATAATATGCCAGTTATGGGATAAAAAGGGTTAAATCATGTGTATTGTTCCAACTTTCTTAAATATAAAGATGTTTTCTTTGACTTTTTGTATTTGAAGAATATGCGTGTCACAGGCACTTTAAGTTCCATGTTTGCTTTTTTATGTTGCAATATTTTAAGCTACGACGTGAACGAGGTGTAAACAATTTCTTTACTTGTGAAAAACACCTACGTGGAAGCGTTTATATTAATTTTTATCAGTTTTAACTTAGTCCTGCTGATTTCCTTTTCAGGCATATCATGGTCACCATCAAGCCATGGAGGTTCTGGTCCAGTCTTTGCTGGATTTGGATGTTAGGAACAGCCAAGGGCGTACACCCCTCGACCTGGCCGCCTTCAAGGGCCGAGTGGAGTGTGTGGACGTCCTAATCAACCAGGGAGCCTCTATCTTGGTGAAAGATTATACCTTGAAACGAACCCCCATACACGCTGCAGGTATTTGTTAGGACTTAACTTGCTTGCATGTATAATTGTGGACTCAGATAAAATGTAACGAGTAATGCAAATACTCAAACCTTTCCTACAGCCACAAATGGTCATTCAGAGTGTTTGAGATTGCTGATTGGAAATGCCGATCTTCAAAGTGCAGTAGACATTCAAGATGGGAATGGACAGTAAGTAAACATTATTTTCTTTGATAGATTAATTTTTAAAAATAAATGCTAATATATTATCTTGTATTTCGTAGAACCCCACTGATGTTGTCAGTCCTGAGTGGACACACAGATTGTGTGTATTCTCTCCTTAATAAAGGAGCCAGCGTTGACGCCAAAGACAAGTGGGGCAGGACTGCCTTGCATAGAGGAGTGAGTAGTCATTTGATCTTTCTACTTGCTTTTCCTTAAGTATCGTCAAACAACAGTCATTCTGTTTCCAACAACACAAACARAAACACTTGCATCAACCTTTCCACTCCGACCCCRTTTGAAAAAACAACTTGTCACCAACCTAGGTGTAAAAATGGATCCATGTATGAAATTAAACAGTCATGTAAACTCCAATGTTAAATCCTGCTTTTTTCAGCTGAGGAGACAGTCCAAGTTAAAATCCATCCTGTCAAAAAGAAATCTGGAGACAGTAATTCATGCGTTCCATTACATCCAGGCTGGATAACTGTAATGCTCTGCTGTATGGAATCAGCCAGTCGTCCRTTGCTCGTTTACAAATGGTTCAGAACGCAGCAGACTGATTTCTAACTGGCACAAGTAAAAGAGAACATATTTCTCCTGTTCTAGCTTCTCTTCACTGGCTTCCGGTTCTTTTCAAAATTCACTTAAAGATCCTCCTGTATGTCTTTAAATGCCTAAACAGCTCTGCCCCCTCTKACCTCTCAGATCTAGTGCATCCACTTGTCCCACAGCACTCTCTTAGATCATCTGGTCAGCTGCTTCTGAAGGTCCCTAACTCTCATCTCAAACTGAGAGGTGACAGATCCTTTTCAAGACTGTCAAGCTCAGTCTTCTCCGGCATTCGGTAAAAACCAACAAAGACAGGACCAGTTGAATCTTTCGTCCATTTGTTTTGAAACTTTCCACACACGCGTATGTCCGAGAACCTGCTGCGTGGTGAAGTCTTGTGTAATTTTGTAATTACGCAAGACTTCACCACGACTTCAGGGGAGACTTCAGCGTATTTGTTTTATTTTTTTAGAATCGATTTTGGGACATTTTAAATCGATTTTGAATCGTAGTAAATAAGAATCTAGATTCTTATGTGAATCGATTTTTTTTGGCACACTTCTAGTAAACAATTTTATATACTGCCTATAATTAAATAAATGTATTTCTGTGATGGACTTGCGACCTGTCCAGGGTGTMCCCTGCCCCTCGCACTGTGACTGCTGGATATGGGCACCAGTGACCCTGAAAGGAAGAAACGGRTAWAGATAATGGATGGATGAATAAAACTAAAACTAAAAAGATGGTACTTCTGATGGTACTTCAGTATTATGTAATGTTACAYTTTTACAAATGGAGATTAAATGTTATGTAAACTTACTCAAGCTGAAATAAAATATTCAATTGTTAAGTCAATAATGTTAAGATTAAAAATATTTTGGTTTTTTGACTTAGTTGAGGCATAAAAGCATTTTTTAAGCTCAAATTGGAGAGTTAAACAAAACTACTACTATAACTGATGATGATATCTCCATCCATGCCAGAGTTTGGTCTTAGGTTCACGGTTTGAGCCTGGTTGTAATGTTGTAAAATATGCAAATTCTGAAAAAGGAAGGATAATAACTATAATAGCTGCTCAAAATAAAAAATGGACAGGAAGTTTCCATAAAGTAAAGAAGAGCTTTGGCTCATTTCTACAGGAGAGAATGTGCCTCTTGGTCCACATTTTGTTAACCTAGTGTGTTAAAATATTTCAACAGTTYTTTGACACAAAGTCTCTATAATCTTTTGCTCTCAGGAGGAAGAWATCCTTCGAAACCCTAATCAGTGACGTTTTCTGTCTGCAGGCAGTGACCGGTCATGAAGAATGCGTGGAGGCCTTGCTTCAGCACAGCGCCAACTTCCTGGCGCGGGACTGTAAAGGGCGCACGCCGGTCCACCTGGCAGCGGCGTGCGGACACATCGGGGTACTCGGAGGCCTTCTGCACGCCGCCCAATCAGTGGAGACGCTCCCCACCCTAACAGACAACCAGGGCTACACCCCGCTGCACTGGGCCTGCTACAACGGTGCTGACCGGAAGCTTCTTCTAAACAAAAACAATCAATACATTTATGGAAATGTTGTTTTATTGATGTGTGCTGCTAAATAAATTATGCTGGAAGATATATCAAATAAGTGTAATGGAGCACTTAAAAGTGTGTGGACTTAAGGTGGATAGGCACTTTTTTCATGGTTCATGTTTTTTTTTAATTATTTATGGCTGATAATGGCTTTTTCTAAGATAAGTTGATTTAGTTTATGCTTTCCGTCCCACAGGTCATGATACGTGTGTGGAGGTTTTGCTGGAACAAGAGATTTTTCACAAGGCAGAAGGCAATCCTTTCAGCCCCCTCCACTGTGCTGTGTAAGATCCTGACTTGTCTTTGGTTTCAATCAATGTCCCAAACAGTCCAACACTCAATTGATTAAACACTTAAGCTTTTTTTTTTTTTTTGTAGAATCCGTGACAACGAAGGTGCGGCTGAAATGTTGATAGACACTTTGGGGCCTGTCATTGTAAACRCCAAAGATAGCAAAAACAGGTATACACCGTCAAAAAAGATCAAGTAGCAATTTCATCAGCCATAAGAATCACATTTTTTGCTGACGATGTCCTCCTGTTTTTGYGTGTAGGACCCCCCTGCACGCCGCAGCGTTCACTGACCACGTGGAGTGTCTGCAGCTGCTGCTGAGCCACAACGCTCAGGTCAGCTGCGTCGACGCCGCAGGCAAGACCCCGCTCATGATGGCTGCAGAGAACGGGCAAACCAACGCCGTCGGTACGAACGCCTCCTAGCTTTCCGCCAGCTTTGAATCAGAATCAGTCTGATTTCATGTGAACTTGAATTTGTTTCTCTGCGTATGATGCACTCTGACACAGAGCTGCTGGTGAGCAGTGCAAAAGCAGACCTGACTTTACAAGACGCACTGAAGAACACTGCACTACACTTGGCCTGCAGTAAGGTTTGTATACCAGATGGTGGCACTGTTGAGTCGTTACACATCAACTTATAATTAATGTTTGAACAAATTATCTGGACATGTGGATTTAATGCATGTTTTAAGCAGTGGTGGGCACAGTTCCTCTAAAGCACTAAAGCACTATTAGGGGAACTAATTTCCTGATTAGTGCTTTAGGGCTTTTGCTAATTTTAGAATTTATTAGTGGATTAGCACATGCTAAATTTATAGGCTGAATTTAGAAGCACTAACTCAGGTCTGTAATGTTATTGATCAACATTATTGTTAACAGCKGAGGTTGAAAGCTGTCACACATTTTGTTCAAATGTTTTTTTCAGTTATCCACTAGGTGGCAATATATTGACAAATGAACTCAAAAACAGCTGTGGAATATTAATAAGTCTTAAGAGAGCAACATGGCAATATGTGACTCATGTTGTCTGTTGAAGAGTGTTCATGGGTTGACTGGGTTATTTTAGTGCTTTAGAACTTTTGCTAAAATGTTCAGTGCATTAGTGCTTTAGAATTAGGGGACCTAAATATTTGAGGTAGTGCTTTAGAATTAGGGGACCTAAATATTTGAGGTAGTGCTTTAGAATTAGGGGACCTAAATATTTGATTTAGTGTTTTAGTGTTAGTGGAACTATTTTTTAGATCAGTGCTGCCCTCCACTGGTTTTAAGGTACAGTGTGTGTGTTTTCTGCTTCTAATTCACTGCATGTGTTTCCCACAGGGGCATGAAACCAGTGCCTTGTTGATATTGGAGAAGATTACAGACAGAAACCTCATTAATGCTACAAATGCCGCCTTACAGACGTATGTTTTCAGCTTTGTTCTAACAATGGTTGAGATGTTATTTTTTTTTCTTTCTTTGAGATTATATTAATGAAGTCAAAAGCAGCAGACTAATTCCCTGAACCTGGTTTCTTTTCAGGCCTCTGCATGTGGCTGCAAGAAACGGCCTGATTGTGGTGGTGCAGGAGCTGCTYGCAAAGGGAGCCAGTGTCCTTGCAGTTGATGAAAACGGTAAAGACYGTAGCAGTTTCTGTGTTTTTAGGCTCGAAAGTATTTATCTGGTGGGGCAAACAGAACTAGTTGGAAAAATTCCTACACAAACTATTCATTTAATTTTATTCTTTTGTATATATATTCCCAAATTTTACATGTTTATATTTGATTTCTAAACTTTTATCCAATGTTGTCAATGATGCTCATAACTTTATATATAAATGGCTCATATGTTTTATTAAAGATATATTGACTTTTTCATACTTGTATCTTTTTTTGCAAAAGTTGTAAATATGTAACCTAAATTAGAAAAATTTAGAAAAACAGACAGTTATTTTATTGCAGTGATTAATTTTACCTATAAAAAATGTTAAATTTACATCACATCATGGATCAGTCAGCAGCAGCATCTGATCAATATGTGATCCATGATGTGATGTAAATGTAACATTTTCTACATATAGGTGAAATTAATCACTGCAATAAAATAACTTTGTTTTTATCACTTTTACAGTGGATTGCATCAACTCTGTTACATACAGAAGGGAAACTTCACCAAAGTGAAACATAAATCTGTGGATCTGTGTTTGATTACTCTGCCTGGCTTTCTCAAAGACCAGGATGTGACACAAAAATCTGAATTATGGAACTGAAAGTGAAAGTAGTCAAACTGAATTTTTAATAAACCAAAATACAGTTTCAAAGCAAATTAATTCAGATACAAAACTTTAAATTCAGTTTCAATTCAGTAAAATTTATTTTCGAACCAGTGCTTTCTTTTTTAAATTATGCACATTCTGATTAATTTCCTGCTGGCACAAGATTTATCATGCTACAATTTTGTGTTCTTCAGGTTACACGCCTGCCTTGGCTTGTGCCCCCAACAAAGACGTGGCCGACTGCCTCGCCCTCATCCTGGCCACCATGATGCCTGTGTCCCCCTGCACCCAAGCCCCCACCATCCCTTTCAGTGCCATTAACCACTACACCACCAGCCCCTCGAAGAGCGTCACCTTCGACAGCCTGCCGTCACTACGAGGCGAGCACAGCTCCTACTGCAGCTTCAACAACATCAGCCACAACGACGGCTTCTACAAAGACGAGGAGCTCAACGACTCGGACTCTGAGACGTACTGAAGGGGGTGGGGCAGGAGGGACGAGAGGAATGCACAAACACATACACTGTGTCTTAAAAATCACTCGCCGTGAGCTTGGGTGGGCACAGGGAGAAGCAATCCCCCAGAGGAGCCTTAAGATCCCCCCCCACACACACTACCACAAATAGAAGAATACGGGGAGGAGGTGCAGCAGGCTGTCCCACACTCATCTCGACCTCATCCAGCACAGAGGCTGGACAGAAGGAACCACTGCTTGATCAATGCTGACGTATCGAGCGGGGGGAAACCAAATTTGTTGGACAGACGGCAACTGATTTGCAGCAATAACAAGCTGAAGATGTGTGACTGAACTCCAGAGTTAAACCAGCAGGGACCAAAAAAAAGACATGGATTCATTTTTAACTGTTTTAACTGAGTAAAGTGACTTGAGACTGAAATATTTTCATGAGGGTTGTTGATTAGCAAGAAAAACTAGTTTTCATTGATTAATATCGGCACACTACATCACACACGTGCATCAAGTTTRTAAGTCATGCAGGGGGAGGGAAAAATCATTTATTTTTTGATCAAAATTTTATTATACCAGTCWTAATGTCTTAAAACTCCTCTAGAAATGTAATTTGCTTATATAATTATAAACCCTTTGATACAGGCACCAGGTTAATAATACGTTGAGCGACCTACCTTTGTACATTCAGCTGACAATTGCAGTTTAGTCTTTAAAAAATAAATTATTTGTATTCATTTGGTTGCTTTTGATTTGTTCATTTTGTGCCTTTAGAAAACATGAGTTTGTAGAGGCAGCGGTGAAAGTACACATTAAGTACTAAAGTACTGAGGGATCTATCCTCAGCACAGTAAAGAGACACTGTAAACCACTGATGGGACATGATTTGATTTTCCTTAAAGTGATGTTTTTGCTCTATTAGTTTTGCTTGCTTTAARCTGGAAAAAAATAAAAGGAAACCAGTCAATTGTTTCATCATTCAAAAACTCCCAGTTGTGTCTGCAAAATATTTTAACTGGAATTCTGTACATTTGCTAGATTGAATAGAATGGGAAAGTTTTTTTTTCTTTTCCTAACATTTTCTTGAAGAGGAATGAAACTAGCATGTATATAGAAATTATGACTGTGAATTCAAAATTTCATTGAGTTCTTTCAGTACTGAGATTGCTGTATATTTTAAGAGAAATAAATTATTTAATAATGGGCATGAGTTGATTTTTTTTCCTGTCATGCCTGYTATAATACATTACATCAAATAAAATGTTTAGATCAGAGGTATCAAYTGGACACACATGGTTTTGTAGAATCAAATGTAAAAGAAATACAAGCTTTTTAACAAATTAACACAAAAGCAGGTCAGCACATATTTTAGCAAACTCAGATGTACATATAATTGACAGACTATTTACTAAAAACTTTTGAGAAATATGCAGAGTTGTATAGTAAGTACAAATACTTTGTTACTGTAAGTAGAAATTTTGGTTATCTGTACTTTATTGAGTAATTTTTTTTCAGCATACTTTTTTTACTTATTACATTTTTACACAATTATCTGTACTTTCTACTCACTACATTTA